CCAGAGAAGAGAGACTAGTATAGAAGTCCAATTCAAATGGAGGACTAAAACGTGAGTAAGAAATTCTAAATAGAACCAGGAGATGGCGTTGCTATGAAAATGAGCGCCTCAACGCTGTATTGAGTCGGAGCAAAGAGTGAACGCAGTAATGGCAGGGGTAAATAGTAGAAGTGGTGGGATCATAGAACGCATAAGTCTTTTTACTTTGCTGTTGTAAGCCAAGTTTGTAAAGAAAAAAAAAAAAAAACGGTTGATTTTCCGAAGCGATAACTACCGGTCGGATGACAGAAGCTTCGAGATTTACCGACATGTTATCCGAAACGAAGTCCGGATTATTAACCCAGCATTGGACTTCTATACTAGTCTCTCTTCTCTGGTTTAGATACTTTATTTGCACGTTTGTACTTTAAAAGAAATCATAACTGGTGCAATGGAGAAATTTTTTATATTTGTTTAATTGGAACCCAAAGGTGTTTATCATCTAGGATATAGGTCTCTAATGTCTGTCAGATATTAGATAAGAAACAAGGACGTGAAATGCATACACTAAATTACTAATTCCGCTACTGAACAAGAACTTAAAACCTAATCAGCAATGTTTGCTTATAAGAACAAATGTTTACATTTTAGGAAGTTTAATGTCGATCTTGGCATTTGCGTGTCCCTTATTCTATTTAGTCAGACTGTTAAACGTCTGCAATTTAATAAAATGTGCCTTTTATTCCACAAACACGTTGTACCTTCTATACAAAGCGGCCTACACATCGGCGAGTACAATTCCTGGTAAATACATATTATGCGGAATTTTAATTTTTTTGCTTTTCCTCAATTTTTGTAGTATTTAATACCAACGTCAAATATGAAAAATTAAATAAAGGACGTAAAAGAGATATCAATAAAATGTTAAAAACTAAACAGCGCATAAAAACGGCATTTGATGTTTTGCCACGATTCTTACGACAAAGTACATCACAGACAGAAAAGAGTTTACAATCCAACAAAAATACAGGTAAAAGGAATAGGTAAAATATACGGTATTATTTCATGCATTTTTTTTAATAGAAGAACAAGACGATAAGGAAAACTTATTGTTGAATGATTACTACATAAGAGACGTTGAACAATACTGCGATTCTGACAGCGATGATAAAAGTTCAAGGTCATTAACGGAAGTTGATGGGGAAAGTTCAAGTTCGTCGACTGATATAGATACTGTCGTACAAGAATATCAAGATAAAATTCAGGTAGGTACCTAATACATACTGTAATGTTCTTGGGTTTAACAAAATTAACTTCTAAGACTGATAACGACAAAAACTATTTATTTACATTAATTATTAAGGAAGTTAAAAACACTATTAAATTATTACTAAACATAGGTTATGAATTATTTTATTTATTTACACTACTGTTGATATATCACTATTCGCTGAGCTATTTATTTCACTGCTATCACTGTCAATTTATTTCTCGATTCTCTTCTGCAACGATCAATTTATTTCTTCTACTCTCGGCGATCATCTCTTCCTTTAAATACTCTTTTATATACTTTTGGGAACTTTCTGGAAAACGTCGGGATAGTTTATATTTTCTTTGAACTGTTTAACTGCTTTCCCAGAACGTAGGTACGACACACACATTTACAAATACGGCGCACATGAAGAAACGCACCCGCTGCTAGTCGGCGAATCGATAAGCCGTTCACGAATACGTGTGCCCGAACGCACACAAACACACTCGTGCTCGCTACAATACCTACTTATGTTACATGTAAAATGTGCATGACTGTTTGAGTAACGTTAATCTTAGGATTTTGAATTTGATTTACCAAAACACAATTTAAACAGTGTGGATAAGCTTTGTGACTATTTACTAGAGCTTAGTCTTGAATTGGAACTTATCTGCACATTCTTAATTATTTCTGTTAACGGAGGGTAGAATTTTCCTGTTCGTATAATGGTCATATAGTAACGCTTGCATAGTTTAGAATACGTTCGCGCAACAGGCACTTACCCTGCACTCTGCACGGGGCAATATGTAAACAGCAGTCGTAGGAGTGTGTAAGAAAATCATATCTATCGAATGTTATAAAAAGCTGTAAAATTTTTAAACTTAGTGTTATTATGTAATAAATTGCTTTTGATTTGTTCTAATAATTTTTGATGTGAAATATCTTTTGCGACGGGTCAGATAGACTGTTGGCGTGACATCACGCACTTGTAACTCTAAACTCTACTCGACTCGGTGATTTCCCCTTTTCTCTCACTTTCCCACCGTACTAAGCTCGTATGCCTATAGCAGAGATGCCGGATGAACCCTGTGAGATCGATTTTCAAAATCAATTCAAATTGATCTCATCAGATCGATCTTTGAAAAATCAAGCAATAAAGATCGATTCTCAAAAAAATCGATCTTCAAAAATCAACAAAATTTTTTTTTTTTTAATTTAAATTATAAGAAAAGTGGTTTTTTACAATTTTCTATTAATAATCAGTAAAAATTCA